GGGAGAGGGAGAGGGAGAGGGAGAGGGAGAGGGAGAGGGAGAGAGGGGGGGAAGAGAGAGAGTTGTGAAAGAGACACATCAATTGGTTGCCTCCCGCACATGCCCCCGACAGGGGCGGGAATGGAGCCTGCAGAATCTGGCCGGGACCATTCAGTCCGCAGGCAGGCTGACACTCTAACCACTGAGCCAAACTGGCTAGGGTCAGTTGTGGTTTCTTTACCTTTAACTCCTTCTAGATAAAGATGCAATTGCCCCACAACCCTTCTATACGAACTTCACTTCATGAATCAGGATCTTAAGCTATAGAATTTGACACTATGAAAAGCAACTATGCTCTCATTATGACAAAAATAAAAATTTCAAAAGTATGAAGGGAGAACTAAGATCACTCTCTATTTCCAGGACTTTGGGCGTTGGGGAAGGGTCCTGCCCATGCACCCCATCCCCCGCCCTGCTCCAGCACTTAATAAATTAAATGGGATCCCTATGTTCCTTCAAGTATATATCCTCTATCATCTTTTTGCAACCTGTTTTTTAATTTCATAAGGCTTCCAGGAAAACCAACATTCTCCCCAAATGCTTTTTTCTACTAGCAGAGTGGGTCTATAAAAATAAATTTATTCACACAACAGGATTAGAGTAAAATTCTGAATTTATAGGATGTTCTTGCTCTCAACACAACATGCAGAGTTGCCCCCCATCCTTTATTTTTCTATCTGCCTATTAGAAATGGTAATGTATTATTTTTTGTTTAGTCTTAGTTTGCTTTTCATTTTACAATATATTGTAAACAATATATTCTTCCTTACCTCAAATGACCAGAAAGCTGCATTTGTTTAGAGTTAATTGGCTTAGATGTTGATTAGTAGTGGACAAAGCACTAGCCTAGGAGTCAGGAGACCCAGGTTCCTAGTACTAGCTTTACTACTTTGTCATTTTGGAGATTTATGGGTCTCAGTTTCCTCATATGTTAAACAAGGAAGATATATCTGGTTTCTGAGTTCACTTCTAACAGTTGTGATTTACAACTATAGATGTTGTTGTTTTTGTTTATCTTCATTGAGGATTCCCCCCCCCC